GGGGGAGCAGGTCTCCTCAGACTCAGGGAGACAGCTGAGAGAATACCAGGCAGAACCAGCATCCTACACCCAGCCTGGTCCGCGGGGCTCAGTCTCGGGGCTCCTGGGCTCTGAGGGGGGCCACCTCCTCAGGGAGCAGTGGCCAGAGGCTGATGCGGAGTGAGGGATGGAGCTGCACCTGGGGCCGCTCCTGTGTCCCCTCTCAGAGAACCCCGTGTTTGGAGCCCTCAGGTCCTCATCTCCCTGCCCCGCCCGTACAGGAGCTGTTGAAGGAGACGCGGAAGGAGCACACGCTGCGGGCGGTGGAGCTGCTCTACTCCGTCTTCTGTCTGGACATGCAGCAAGTGACCCTGGTCCTCCTGGGCCATATCCTGCCGGGGCTGCTCACCGATTCCTCCAAGTGGCACAGCCTCATGGACCCCCCCGGCACTGCTCTTGCCAAGTAGGATTCTCTCGGAGCCGCAGGTCCCCACGGCGCAGTGCCGGGTGCCCCTCACCTCGGGCCGCCCTGGGAGGCTGGGCTGTGGGGGGAGCCCTGTCAGCCCCGGCACAGAAGCCCTCTCCGGGGCCCCCTGACTTTACCGTCTTTTCCTGGAACCCTTTGCCAGGCTAGCCGTCTGGTGTGCCCTGAGTTCCTATTCCTCCCATAAGGGACAGGCGTCCTCCCGCCAAAAGAAGAGACACCGTGAAGACATCGAGGTAGGGGACCCCTCTGTTCACTTGTTCATGTGCTCAGCAGACATTTGCTGAGCCTTTTGCAGGTAAGAGGCCCCTTCCCAGGCCCAGGCCCTGCCCCTGGGCGGCTACGTCCCGGCTCAGCTGGTTGAGCGGCTCCAGGGGTGACTGTGTGAGGGGGTGTCTCACTAGGGTTGTGGGAGGGTGAGGGAGGCTGGCCCTCCTGGAGATGCCGGCCGAGGCCTGTGGTGGCCGGACTTTTCCTCCTGTACGAGCTCTAGCGCTCTTCTCTGGTAATGGGAAATTTGGGGCCTAGTGGGTAATAGTGACTCTCTCACCCTGCAGGATTATATCAGTCTCTTCCCCTTGGATGACATGCAGCCCTCAAAGCTGATGCGACTGCTGAGCTCCACGGAGGAAGACGCCAACGTCCTTTCAAGTCCCAGTGAGCATGAGGACGGGGCCGGGTGGGCTCCTCCTTCCCTGGGAACTCGCTTCTGCCTGGGAAAGCTGCTTGGCGTAGAGCCCGGCCGCCGGCGTCTTTCCTGGTCAGAGTGTGGTGGGAGTTGGTCCCATTCTGCCCCCCACTGCTGCTCTGTTTTCTACCTGCGGAGAGACCAGAGAGGTTGCCGGGCACCTCTCCCAAAAGACTGAAGCTCCTCTGTCCAGACCCCAGCCCAGCCCTGGACACACCGCTGTCCCTTCCCCACCCTTTACTCACCACGAGTGAGTTCACTACCTCGGGCACAGCCTGCCATTGACTCACCAGCTCTGCCCTTCCTTCCCCTGAAACAGGCCCCGCGGCCTGGCCTGGGGCTGGGGCGGCTCCCCACTCTTCCTGCCTAAAGAGCACCCTTCCCCCTCAGGCTCCCCTTGATGTTATTACCTCTCCCTGCCAAGGGCTTCTTCTGTGGCATTTAATTTTTCCTGTTTCCAGAAATTTCTCTTGAGTCTAGAAGTTTCTCTAAGACCTTCTGGGCATTAGGGCACCAACTGTGCAGTTGAGTAGAGGAAAGATGCTACGTCTGCCACCCGCAAACCTTACGACCTTTGGCTGGTTACTCAGCAAATCTGACTCTCGGTTTCTTTGTCCGTGAAGTGGGGGTATGAGGATTATGCGGCCTGATCTGTGTGTAGCCCGGAGACTGGAGTCTGGCAGTGCTCACCAAATGTTCTCTCTCATGTCCCTCTGAGATATCTGTATTCAGGGCCCCTCTGTGACTCTGGATCCTGGACCCTCCGCACCCCGGGGCTGGGGGGCTCCACACCCGTCGGACGAGGGCGTCCCCAGGGCAGAGGGGTTTTGAAGCTAGGGGGCCTTTCCCTCAGCCTCCCTCCACTTGGCCCCACAGCCGACCGCTCCATGAGCAGCTCCCTGTCAGCCTCCCAGCTGCACACGGTTAATATGAGAGACCCGCTGAACCGAGTCCTGGGTGAGTCCTCCCACCGCCCTCCGGCCCAGGGGGCTGAGGCCTTGGCAGCTGGAGGGGGGCCGCCTGGTGCCCCTTCACCCCTGTTAGTGTCCCCACCTTGTTCTTCCATCTCTCCAGGTGCTGGCTCTCCTGTCACCCCCAGGCCCTCATTCAGTCCCTCTCCCCCCCCCGTTCACTTTCCTTTCACATTTGCTTTTTGTGCCGCCACCTCCCAGCCTCACGTCTTCTCAGACCCTACTCACGAGTGCTCCCTCTCCCCCCATTCCGCGCAGCCAACCTGTTCCTGCTCATCTCCTCCATCCTGGGGTCGCGGACCGCCGGCCCGCACACTCAGTTTGTGCAGTGGTTCATGGAGGAGTGTGTGGACTGCCTGGAGCAGGGCAGCCGGGGCAGCATCCTGCAGTTCATGCCCTTTACCACTGTGAGTGCTTCACCCCGGGCGCGGGCGGGCACCCCCCCCCCCCCACAGCTCAGATGGGGGCAGCAGAGCCTGGGGTTTAGGAGCAACCCTCGGAGTAGGAGCCCTTCCTTCCCGGACATGGCAGCCACCACCAGGCAGCCCCAGCGAGCAGCCATTTGTCTGTCTGTGGCAGGTATCAGAACTGGTGAAGGTGTCAGCCATGTCCAGCCCCAAGGTGGTTCTGGCCATCACGGACCTCAGCTTGTCCCTGGGCCGCCAGGTGGCTGCCAAGGCCATTGCTGCGCTCTGACGGGCTTGGGGTGGCCGCAGGGGCCGTCTGGGGGGCCACAGCCCCAGGTGCCTCAGAAGGGAACAGTGAGGAAAGATGAGACATCATTGCTCATATCCACGTGATGTAAGAGCCCTGTGTCATTTCCAGATCATTCTCCTCTCCTGACATCTCATCTCTTAAGACGTCTCCCAGTTTCTTTCATAATTTCCTCTGCCCACAGCCAGCACCTAAAGAGTGTGCGCAGCCTGGCTCTTAGCCCAGGGCCCTCAGCACCCCACATCCCTGCCTTGCCTGCCTCCCCCTCCCAACAGTAGATGTAGCTCTGGGAACTTTGCAGGTGCAGAGTATGTATATTTATATTTTTGTAACACATGAGGGAAGTTCCTCTCGGCTCATTTGTAAATAAAGATCTTTGGGGGTCCCTGTGTGAGAGTCCCAAGTGGTGTCAGTGCCTGCGTCCCATGGAGGCAGGAAACATCTTCTCCTTGAATCCCATGTGCTGTGGCCTAGGAAGAGGCTCAGTACTGTGGCTGAGGGGGGCGGGAGGGGTGCGCGGAGGAGGGCTGGGCTCAGGCTCCTGTGTCTGTCCACTCTGCAGGGGCAGGGCTTCCCTTCCTCAGACCCGCACTGGGCGACAAGGAGTCAACATGCGCGTGTGCCGCCTACCCCCACACCCCAAAGTCAGACTTAACTCTGAGAAGGGAGAGGCTTTGGCGAAAGGCCCCACTGGTGCTGGGGTAGGGTGTCCTGTTCTTCTGACCCGCTCCCACTAGAGCCAGCCCCACCCAGAGCCTGACTGGCCCCGAGTTTGATCAGTCTCCAGAGGAGGACTGGGCGATGAGGGGCAGGATCTCTTTAACCCTTGCTTGTCTTCTCCACACATCTCCAAGCCCCGGGTCCTTCAGGACCAAGCAGTGAGGGAGGGCTCTGAGCCACGCAGCTGGGGGTTCTGGCCCTGCTCAGCCAGACCTTCCTTTCTAAGGAGCCAGATGGAGAGGGGAAGTGGGAGGCGCCTGAGGAGCCCAGGGGACGCCCTGAAATGGGGGACCGGTTGGCCATCTGGACTCTCCCGGGTCTGGTGGAGGCACCCAGGAACCACAGGTGCGTCTTCGCCGGAGGACACGGAGAGGAGTGCCTCCAGCCTGTGATGTGAAGCAGCCCCTCCACTCTCTGCTGCTCTCTCACGCACGCACCTGCCCTCCCGCCCCGGGAGGCTGAGACCGGCGGGAAAGGGACGGGTGGCATGAGGTTGCTCCCGGCCCGGTCGGAGGCAGAGCTTGAGGGAGAGAAGTGCAGGGCCGGGAATGTGAGTTCTGACCCAAGTTGTCACCTTGAACTCAGATCTCCTGATCTGTGAAGGGCACCTCTCATTTTTTTTTTTTTTAAGATTTTTATTTATTTATTTGACAGAGAGAGACAGCGAGAGAGGGAACACAAGCGGGGGGGAGAGGGAGAGGGAAAGGGAGAAGCAGGCTTCCCGCCGAGCAGGGAGCCCGATGCGGGGCTCGATCCCAGGACCCCGGGATCATGACCTGAGCTGAAGGCAGACGCTTAATGACTGAGCCACCCAGGCGCCCCAAGGCACTTCTCATTCTATCTCTGTGGGCAACGGTGAGCGCAGATGGGCTGGAGTTTATGGAAGATGGCAGATATTAAATCCTCCCTTGCTTCAGTGTCTGTCTGCGTCTGGACTATTAAGACTCCCCCCTGCCCCCAACCCCACGTTCTCCTCTCCCAGTATGGTGGCCCTTCTGCCTTCTGTCTTCCCCTAGGCTGGGCCTGCGTGAGCGCAGGGACCTTGCCTGCCTTGTCCACTGCCATGTCCCTAACACTCAGCCCAGTGCTTGCAAAGAGTAGGCACAAGAGAAATCCGGGCCAAAGGCGTCAATGTTGATGAGCTAGAGGACTGCCCCCTTCCTCACTGCACCTCCTCTCTCCCTCCCCTTGGCCTCATTCACCATTCAACTCCCCGCCCCCCCCACCCCTGGCTGGGCACCAGCTGGACTCAAGAAGGAGGAAAAGACACTTAGTGGAGACAAAATATTTTATTATCACAAAGTTTGGCTACAGTGAGAAAGTGGGGGCAGAGGTGGAGAGTGAAGAGCTGAGCATTCCTCTCATATACCCCGTCACGTAAACCCCCCCACATCTTCCCCTCCGACACTCCCAGTCCCACCCCCCACCCCCCCAGCAAGGCCGATACATGGGCCTCTGCCCGGCCCTTGAAGAGTCAGAATCCTGACCCTAGTGAGGCTGGGGCAGGCATCAGGAGCCTGTCATTGTTGCTCGAGGGCATCCAGAAAGATGAGAAACGTCAACGATGCCCGGGCTCCCCATACTGGAAGTCAAAATATTCCTGAAAACATCTTAAAAACTAGATCCCCCCAGCAAATTCGTGGGACCCCAGGGTCAAGCCTCCCCGCTCTGGCCACCTCCCGCGGGGCCTAATGCTGGTGGCGAAGGGGACGTGCGGAGAAGCAAGATCTGGCGCACGGGGCATGCGCAAGCCAAGCTGGCGAGGCCAGAGCGAGGGGGACCCAGGAGGGGAACGCTGCTGTTTAAATATTAAACAGGGTTGTCTTGTCTCCCACATGGGAGACTTCTTGATGCTTCCAGGGGCCTCAAGGTGGGTACCGCTGGGGTAGGGAGTTCACTGGGGTTCTTCCCAGTGCCCACCGTGGAGTCAGGCCAGGGAGCAGTCACAGGAACTCAATACGCGGTATTTACCTATAGCTACCTCCCAGTCCAGGGGACAGGAAGACGGGGGCTTTTCTCCCTGCCACAAGCAGGAGAATGGAACTTGGAGACGGCAGGAAGGACCCGAGAGACCGGGGCTCCGTCCTGCTCTTCCTTGTCTTTAAATATTAGATTTAAATAAGCATAAATATTAAATAAAGATAAATACACTGGTTGGGGAGGGTTTTGCTCAGGGTTTGGCAAAGCAGCGCAGAGCGCGGTAGGCCAGCTCCAGGAAGCTCTGCAGGCTGGAGGCCACCAGGACCCCTCCGGCCCGGCGCTGGAAGGCCGAGGTGAAGGTTGGCGTGGTGCCCTGGCTGGGCGGCACTGCCTGGGCCAGCCCCAGCTCTTCCATCTGTGGGGGCAAAGAGGAGATCAGCACTCAGGCCCTGCTGAGTGGGCGTGATTAAGGAAATGCGAAGGGCTGCGGGGCCCTTCAGGCCACACGGTTAATGGTGGCCTTGAACCCAGGTCTGCATCAGGGCCCAGGGACCCGGCTCCCGCCCTCAACTTAGGGAGGGTGGGGAAGGGCTGGCAGCAAGAGGGCCCTGAGAAGGCTCCCACCCTGGCCCTAAAGAACTGGGACCCCCAGGCTTGCAGCCTGGTCTTTGGGGACCAGCTCAGTCCAGGCGCCTAACACTTGCCGCTCCCAGGGGGGCTTACCTGCTGCCAGATATTGAAAGCAAAGTCGCTGATGTCCAGCTGCAGCATGTCCAAGGTGGGGGCTAACTCGGGGGTTATCCCCGCCAGAGCCTGCAGGAGGCCCTGGTAGAGGACGAGGCCGCTGTGGAGTTGATGCAGGCAGCCCGTCTGGGGGGGGTGGGGAGGCGGAGTAGGGGAGTTAGGGGCTGCTGCCCGGAGCACTCCTTTCAAGGCCCAGAGGTCCAGAGAGACTTCCAGACCATTCTTCCCTCCCCTCCGCCCCCTCCTCCCCTCCGGAACCTCACCAGCTGCAGGGCCTGGCTGGAGCAGCTGCTCAGGGGAGGCTGGGGGATGCCCAGAGCGTGTCCGAGCAGCACCAGCTCCTCGGGGTGGCACAGCTTGTGGGTGGCACACTGGGGACAGGAAGGATGCTGAGTGAGGGGGACCTGATGGGGCCCGGCTGCTCCTGTTTCCCAAGTCCTCCCCGTTTCTCCAAGGTCTTCCCCTCCCTCAGCATCCCTCTCCCAGTCCTGGGGGGCTGCTCAGCCCCATTCTGCCCTCTGCTGCGATCCTGGCCATCCGGGCACTGTCCTCGAGACACTCTTCCCCCAGTTCCTAGCCAGCCGTCCACGGCTCCACCTCTCCTGATGTTCTTCCCTGTCCCCCTGGGTCTCTGGTCTCCCACGCGCCTCCCTGATGATGTCTTCTCGACATTCCCTTCCCCTCCCTCAGCCTTCACCCCTTCCTCCCTCCCTGCAGCTCTGCCCTCTGGGTCTTCTTTCCTCCTGCACCCCTGTCCAGCACCCGCGTCCCCTCCGTGCCTCTCCCTCACCAGCCTCTCCTGCAGCACTGTGCCATCAGCCTGGACCTTCCGCATTTGCTCCAAGCACTTGAGCAGGAAGCTCTGGGACGGCGAGCTGGTCGGGCGCAGGGGGGTGGCTTCTTGCACTAGCCAGAGTGCGCTGTGCCACAGCAGCAGCTGAAGGGCTGACAGCAGAGCAGGGGCGGGGGGGGGGGGGCCCGGGGGGCGGGCGGTCCCCCCCCGCCCGGGGCCCGGGGCCGGGGCCCCGCCCCCCCCCCCCCCCCCCCCCCGCAGCCCCTCGGCCACTCCAGCCTCCCTCCCTCCCTGGGGGCCAGGACACTCACCCGTCAGCTTCATGGGGCTCTGGGCAGCAGGCTGAGCAGAAGGTCTGCGTGGGTCGGCAGGCTCTGGGCTCTGGCAGGGACCGGCTCCAGAGGGCCTTTATACAGAAGCCCATGGAGGCCTGGGAGGAAATTACCTGGTGCCACGATGGAGGCTTAGTAATGACTTCCCAGGATTTATGCAAATTTGGCGTCCAGGACAATGCAGGGGGGCTGGGACAAGAAGCTGTTTGCGAAAGTTTTGTGAAATTGTGGAATCCCTGATCCTTCTTTGACGTCTAGTCCCCCTCAAACTCTCTTCCTCCCCTCAGCCCCACCCAGGCCCGAAATTGCCCCAGGGTGTTTGATCAGAACCGCTGAACGAAGGCTGAGCCGCTGATAAAAGCCCTGGAGGCTGGAGGCTGGTCAGACTGACCCGGGAGGGTTGTGTGTGGGGGGAGAGGCAGGCCTCCAGGCGGCCCCTCCCTCCCTCCCTCCCCTGGCGGATCAGGGGGAGCAACCCCCTTGCACTCTCCCTTGGGATTCGCAAGCTACCTGCTCCCGAGACCCCAAATTCTGAGAAGGAAGAACCTAGCTGCCCCCATTTCTACCCCCCCAAACTCCCAGGAGGCTGCCTTCCCGAGTCCCTTCCTGAGGGGCCAGGGGCCTGAGGTAGGGACATTGGGGTCTTGCCTCCTGTCTCCACCCCACACTTTGATAGGCATCGTCCCAGGTTCCTGTCCTGAACTGGTTAGCTGGGAACTCCCCAATCCCCCCTGTGACTCATTCCCTTAAGCCCCCGGAATCCTGGCAGAAACCAGAGGAAACCGGATGTCTGTCCCAAATGAAGCAAGACCCTTGAGGCTCTGGGTCTCTTGGTTCACCTGACCTTGCCCTTCCTCCTCCTCCCCCTGGGGTTCCCCTCCCTCCAGTGGTGTCCCAGCGCTTTGGAGCTGGGGGAAGGTCTGTGGCCTGTGGCTTCCCTGGCCAGGTTCCCCGCCTGCCCGAGTGTGTGCTGCCCTGAGGTGGAGGAGGGCTGGGGGTGAGAAAGAAGGAACTGCCCCAGCCTCGAATCCTAGAACCGTGCAAGTCTTGGGGTCTGTTCTACACCCTGTGAACTGGGCCAGAGAGGGAAGTGCTTGCCCAGGGTCATGGCTGGCCGACTCAGAGTTACCGCCTGAGCCTTCACCTCAGGCTTGAGGGTTTCCTACAGGCCATGGGGCCTGCCTAGAGGTCCGGCCGACCACACCCAAGGGTGTCACTTTCTGTCCCAATTTACCTCAGCGCGGGCCAAGGAACAGACACCTTCTGATGAGGAGTGGGTGTGTCCGCCTGGGTGAGGCCATCTCTGGGGCGGGGGTGCCCCCTGGTGGCCAAAGCTGGCAGGGACTTCACCTGCTGATCTGTCCACCTCCCGTCTCTTGTCCCCAGTACACCGGGAGGCTGGGGCCCCTCACTCCACCTCACGCAGGTTGGCCACCGTGCACGGACTGAGGCCAGCTCAGTGCGCGGCTCTGCGAGAGCAGAGGGGTGGGTTTAGAGCTGTGGAGGGCAGGACATTCACTTTCGCAGCCACGCCCCTTCACCCTCCCCCAAAGAACCCCCAGAGGACTCAGCTGGTCCCAGACGTTATGCTGAGCACTCTCCATTCATTATCAGGTGTAGGCCTTTCAATAAGTCTATGAGGAATGTACTAGAACCATTTCCCCTTTTACAGAAGATGAATCTGACCTCAAAGAGGTTGAGTAACTTGCCCAAGTAGCAGAACCAGGGTCTGCCCTGTGCTGCAGTCTTAAACTCTTTAAAAAAAAAAAAAATATTTTTTGGGGGGGGAGGGGCAGAGGGAGAGGGAGAGAGAGTCCCAAGCAGACTCCCCGGGAGCATGGAGCCAATGTCGGACCTGATTCCACCACCCTGAGGGCAGGGCTGGAGCCAAAGTCAAGAGTTGGACGCTCAACCGAGTTACCCACCCAGGCGCCCCTTAACCATCGAATCTCTTAACCAATGTTTGGCCTTCCTCACCCACGGCCAGAGTGAGTGACCCAGACTCTTATCTTCACTTACAGTTCAAATGTGTAGGACGTTTGTTAATTCTAACGAGGGTGGCCAGAATGGCGAGAGGACTCAGGATCACAACTTGAAGAAAACGGGCTGTCTTGAGTGGGGAAGCGAAGGAGGGGGTTGTTGTCTGCTCTCAGGGACTGGAAGTGGGACAGGGAGTGCAAGCCACAGCCAGCGAGTTTTCAGCTCAACGGAAGGAATGAGCTTTTCCAGCGGTCAGAAGTGTTAGAAGATGTAGGGGGCTGCTCCCGTCCCGGGAAGTGTCCCGGCCTCCATTCCGTGGGGGAGAGAATCCAAATGTTGGCTAGCAGTTATTGGACACCTCTCGTATGTCAAGCATCTTCCATCACACTTTTCGTCATTTCATCCTACAAACCGAGTGGAGGGGTGCGGATTACTCCTGTTAGAGACAAGGGGCAGCCTCAGGGAAAGGAAGGGTCTTGCCCCAGATCACAGAAGGCCTCGGTGGCCCAGCCAGGCGGGATGTGCAGTCAGGCTCCCCCAGCCCACACCGTCCCCATTACACTACCCTCCTGTTCAGGTAGCTGTTCTTCTTGGAGGATGATGGCTCCATCCAGATGTCGGCCCTACCCATGGGACGATAAAGACAGGCAGGGCTTGTTACTGGCCCTGTTGCACAGGCTGAGCTAGACCAGAATGATCTTCTGGCAAAGGGCCTGGCTCCGGAGACCTCTGGCTGTCATTCTGCCTTCCAGCTTCCTAAAGGCTTTCCCAGGTGTTTCTCAATGGCTAGAACTGGTCAGCGACTTCCCCTCACGCTTCCTGTTTTCATCTGGTACTGGACTTGGAGCATCTTTCAAAGGGCTCTGGGGTGACTCATTTGTTGCAGACTCAGCCTGTGAGCCAAGATATGGACACCTCGACTCAAGAATGGGTTTTACATTTTTAAATGGTTGGGGGAAAAAATCAAAAGTCTCTTTCCTAACATGTAAACATCATATGAAATTCAAACCCCAGTGTTCTTAAATAATTTGTTCACATATTGTTTATAGCCGCTTTCAAGAAGGGCAGAACTGAAATGAATAGTTGTGACAGACCACATGGCTCATGAGCCTAAAAAATGTGCAATCTGGCCCTTTGAGAAAAGTTTGCACACCATATACACAGTCCCTGGGCACCAGGAGACACACAGAGCTGTCCTCTGGGGCATTGATTGTCAGAGCAAATAGACGCGCACCAGTCAGGAAAGGGCTAAATAAATCATGGTCCATTCATACCGCATATGCATCCCCCACCCCCGCCCCAAGCCCTCAAGGAATAAAAAACCGTGAAGAAAGGAATTTGCTTTATTTACGCTGTTTCGAAGTGCCTAAGACAGTGCTGGGCATGGTATCAACACGACTAGGTCTCAAAACCGAGACTGAGTGAAGTGAGCAAGTTACATTCATGTGATACAACATTTAAAAGATGTAAAAGCGCAAAACACTACTATATTTTGCATAACATAAGGTATAAAAACATAAACTGGAAGGCTACCCACTGAATTCATTGGAGTGCCTGCCTCTAGGGAAGGTTGGGAAGGGCCTGGAAAAGGAACAAGATGGGCTTCCAACTGATCTGTAATGGTTTTCCTTGGTTGAGAAAACTTGAAATGATAACCAAATGTTACCATTTATTAAACTTGTGTGGAAATACATGGGAATTTGTTATGATATTCTTCATGCTTCTCTGTAGTTCTCTAATTAAAAAATAGAACAAAACAAAACAAAACAAAAAACCCAGAAAGTGAACACAGTGAACTCTCCAAGCATAAAAAGGACACTAAGCTTCTCCAGGAAGAGAAAACCAAGCCAATGGGTATGAATTACAGGAAACTTCCAGACGGCGAGCAGACAGAAAAACAGCCCATAGACTCAAGGTGGGTGAGAACCAGGAAATCATGGCAAATGACCCCGGCTCTCTGGACCAGGGTGACACACTCTCCAATCTGTTACCAACCAGGAGAGGGTCTGAGGCACTTTGGGCCAGGTGCTAACTTTAAGATTTATAACCTTGGGGCATCTGGGTGGCTCAGTCAGTAGAGCGTGTGACACTTGATCTTGGGGTTGTAGGTTCATGCCCTACGTTGGGTGCAGAGATCACTTAAAAATGAAGTATTTTTTTTTTTTTTTTGGAGAGAGACCGCATGCACTCAAGCAATCACGTGTGTGTGGGGGGCGCGCAGAGAGAATCTTCAGCGGGCTCCACGCCCAGTGCAGAGCGCCACGCAGGGCTTGATCTCACAACCCTGAGATCATGACCCCAGCCGAAATCAAGAATCAGATGCTTAACCAACTGAGCCACCCAGGTACCCCCAAAATAAAGTCTTTTTTTTTTAATAGTTTCATTACATTGAGAGGTGGCAGTAGCTTTTTAAATGAAGCAGGTGATGCCAGATCACTGTGACCAAGGCTGGCATGGGATCAGGAACAAAAGCAAGGCCTAAAACATGCCTTTAGTGGAAATTAGGGATACTGGGGGATGAAAATCTTCAGTTGGTGATGAACAGAGCATACCTTTCCTAACAAGACTTTATTGGACCCAGTGTGCCAGGCACTGGGCAAAGCCCCAGGAGGACACAAATGCCTCATGCTAAGAACTTGCAAGTCAGGAAGGTAAGACTTTCACACCACCTCCTGAGTATCTGATCTCAAGCGAGTGTTCCAGAAGCCAGGGGGATGAATCATACTGCGAGGCAGGAAGCCTGGAGTAGAAATCCATGGGGTGAAGAGCCAGAGCACGGCTGGAGAGGGAACCCAGTTAAGCAGAGGCGGAAACCCCCAAGGCCGTGTTCAGGTAACAGCACTTGGAGGGAGCAGAGAACATGTACAGCGGCGTCCCAGGGGCTGCTGGGGGACACAGCAATAATTCAATGACCCGAGATGGGGAGCAGTGGTGTTAGGAGCCGGGACTTCAAGACCTAAGCAGACACATCCCCCCACCCCCACCCCCACAGCTGGAGTAAGTGGGCGGGGCCACAGGGAGCCCCCTCCTGCCTGACCCAGGTCCGCTCTCTGGGGGGTGGCGGGGGGTGGTGGTGGGGAGCTTGTCTCCCATTTGGTGAGGGCCAACTG